GCCCTCCGCTCAGCCGCGGGGAGAGGCGACCCCGGCCGGGCCCACGCGCACGCCGCCCAGGTCGGGGCCGTGGGCTCTCCAGGCGCCCGCCGTCCGGGCCGGCACCAGCGAGGCTCCGTAACTGCGGCGGGACGGCCGCCCGGCCCGCGGAGGGCGGTCAAGAGCTCGCTCTCTACCTACGCCGCGGCTGCCCTCTAGTGGCCTTCTAGGGCCTTGCAGCCTGGATTTGGGAGCTCTGGAGTCGTGAAGGCCGCGCGTCCAGTTCGAGCCGGTCTGGAAGAGCGGCTGTCCGGTTTGGAAAGGATTTTGCTAGGTTTATGTCCCGCCTTTCCTTCAAACGCTGGCAGTGGTGTGCACCGCGCTTCTTCCGGAACAGCAGCTACGTGGGGCGGTTGGGTGGGAGAGAGGACTGGTCGAAGGTCCCCCGGTGAACGTGGGGGGCCGAGAGTGGACTTGAACCTGGATCTCTCCTTGATGCCAGCTAAAGTAGACGCCCTCTCCAACTTTCTGTTCCTTAAAGTAGACGCCCTCTCCAACTTTCTGTTCCTTAAAGTAGACGCCCTCTCCAACTTTCTGTTCCTTAAAGTAGACGCCCTCTCCACTTCAACTCCCAGAATTCCCCAGCCAGCCATGCTGGCTGGGGAATTCTGGGAGTTGTAGTCCACACAGCTTCAAGTCGCCAAGGTTGAGGAACCCTGCACTAGACCACACCGACAAGCTGCATGCAGCTATTCTGCAACAAAGGGCAACCCGGATTGTGCTGCCAAAATTTGGCAGGATTCAAAGCCAAACATTTTCAGACTTGCCGCTGAGTGATGATTCTCTTTCATCAAGTGTGCCCCCCAGAGGTGTAAAAAATATTAAAGTGTTTTAGCAGTTAATTAAAGTAGACGCCCTCTCCATACTTTCCTGTCCTTACAAACCATTCCTGCTTCCATCACTAATTCATACGATGCCTTTTATTCTTTAAACTTCTCCACTTTTTTTTTTTTTAGGTCTAATAAACTTTATTCAAGCATGACTTTCTTGAACTTTCTGTTCCTCTGAATTCATTCACTGAGTTGAGCCCACCGGGTTGGGCTGGATGGTTTCTAAAGCAGAATGCAGAACCTGAACAGATTAATATTAGCGTAGACAGCAGTTCAAACCTAGCCCCAAAGTCTTTATGACCTTAAAGGTTTGTACTTGTACTTTAAACTAAGCCAGAAAAGAATGGAAACCAGTGCAAAATTGGTGTAACTGGTGTAAAATGACTCTTCGGACTTCAGCCGCTAAATTTTATGGCGTCAACTTCTATTTTAAACCTCAAATTGTATCACTCGCTTAACAGGAAATCCTTTTAAATTAAGCACTGTCAAGACGTTTCCAGCTTCCCAATCTAAAATGGTACTGTAGTAAAAGAAATGTACATTAGAATACTACAACCTTGACATTATTTTGAAATTAGTAAATTATCTGTAGTTAGGGCTGGGCAATGTTTTGGATTCTGTTGCAAACAACAACTTTGGAGCACAGAGAGGCATGACTATAATATCTGTCTGCAACTCATGAAAGCAACTGTATCAGCTGCTCTGTGACCCTGGAGAAAGCCCCGGCTGCTTTCACAAGTTGAACACATTTGCGTTCCTATTCCTTCTGAAGCACCTCACTAGAATGAAATCCAGAGCACTGCACAGGAATTATACAAGACTGGTATGAGGAGAAGGACCTGCTTATAACTCCAGCTAAACCTGTTTTTCAGTCCTAAAATGCCAAACAGGCTTTCCCTTTTTGAAGTATGTTCCAAACTACGTTTATTTGCACCTCACAAAATTAAACTGAAGCCACTGAAATCTACAGTAAACTAGCCCTTTTTACATTATCTTTCTGGGTTCTGCTTTCAGAGTTCATAAACATGAGACACTCTGAGAACTGTAAAACTCATAGCCACTTACAAGCTTACAAGGGTCATCCTGCATCTCCACTGATTCCTTATTGTTCAGGAATTTGAAGTTGGCTAATTGTCTTGTACATACTCTTTCCTCTTGCTTTGGTGACAGGAGGCAGTGGGGAAACTGCAGAAAAAGTGACCAGTGGAAGAAACAGGCACACATATCTGATAGATACTATCCCTGAAAAATATTAGTGTCAAATACATTACAGACACTAGTAGTAGATATTAATATTAGACACATTAAGTGAAATGTATTAATATCAAATGATTAGAACTGATCTGGGCCTCAAAACCCCAGGTACTGACTACAGTTTGGCTTTAAAAATGTTATGGCAATTTTTTTGTATTTATTTTTTTTTCTTCACATGTGGTCAGTAAGTTATGTAAAGTTACTTGATACCAGAGCATGACATACATAATGTTGGCAGAGGTAAGAAACGTTACTGAAATAGCATGACATAGTGATACCAAAGGAGGGAACGGGTGGCTGGACAATAGCCAGTCCAGTAGAGAGTACAGTAGATAAAAAAGTTCTGTTGTTTTCCTCAGTCTTTCTGGCAATGAGTACAAAATCGGTCACTGACCAGCTATGAACAATCTTACTTATGATAAGCTGTGTTTTTTCAGCTGCGTAATCCCTGTTATGTCCAAGCACTACTGTGAAACCAACAAAACCAGTTTATTGGGCGTTTAACTTCTTAAAGCAAAGGCTAGTTTCATTAGATATAAATCATCAACCTGGCACATCACACACAGCCCTGGTTTGCTTAACCACGTTTACTGAAATTGGTCAGATTCACATACCAATAAATGGCTTACAAACAACAGTGGTTGTAGTCACACTAAGCCAAATTCAAACAGACTATATTTGGGATTGATATATATACATATACATGTCTAGTCACAGCTTCCAAATCAAACCTAAGAACATAGCATTGGATTGAAATAAAATGCCTGATATTCTTGTCTCTTAGATCTCAAATCAGAACTAAGTCACCTATATCTTCAAGTGCCCGTCAACTCCATTTTTCTTTTTTATATGAACTTTCTTCAAATTTTCATTGAAGGTATTTTATATAAAGTGATCACATGAGGAAGATAAGGACAACCCGCTGAGGAAATTTGTCAGAGTTTCTTAACCTTGGTTGATCTCAAATAATTAAATGGGATGAGACTGAGTTAAGTATTTTGATGGGAGACCATCAGAGAATCGGGAAAAGGTTGCAGGCTTAGACCGGGAAGTTGAAACAACGCCCAGGAAGAATGTAATGACAAACCAATGCTTTCATGTTGCCAAGAAAATTGCATGGACATAGTGGTGAAATGTCCAGCAATCAAGGGGAAGCCAAATGTGACTTTCCTTTTATGTTTTACTTTTCAAAGGGTTAAGAAAGATCTTGACTGTAACGCTGACATAGCATGAGCTGCAATTGAAAACAGCATCCCAGCAATGTAATCTAAGCGAGAGCAGCTCACCAGGGTCGGCTGCGTTACACCACACGCCAGGCTGAAACGAACTGGTGAGGCCGAATTTTGCCTGTGAGCTGTGCAAATTGAAGCCTGCGTTCGCAGTCTCCCCTCTTGGCATATTCCCCATATTGGTACCCAATTGCATATCTGGAATATTATAAACAGCTATTTTTTTAAAGTCCAGAAGCAGCATTTTGCGCAGCTTTTATCCCAGCCTTCCTGTAAACAAACCTTTATTCCTTTTAGGCGCCATTACCTGGGGAAACGCTCGGACCCCCGCGCAGGGCCCTCCTGAAGGCGTTTACTCAGGAGTAAATGGCACTGCGCTGGAGGGGTCGGTTTGAAAAAGAGGAAAGCCTGCGCCTCCTTCAGAAGTTCCTACTCCAACCTCTCCGTCCTTCGGGGACCCCTCC